TTGAATGCCACCTTCCCTTCCCTCCACATATCGGAGTGTGTATGAACAGGCTTTGTTCCTGCCTCTAGACGGAAGAAATCTGAGAACAGGGTCCCCGGCTGACTCATTTTTACTCCCCCACCCCCACCCCAGCACTCATTGGTATATTCACTCGCCAACTATTTCCTCGGGCACTGCTGTGGGCCAGGCACTGTTCTAGTGCTGAGGATATACTCATGGAGCGTATGTTCTAGTGGAAGACACAAGTAGTACACAAGAAGAGAATCAAGGCTTTCCCCCCCGGATGGAGTTGGGTGCCATGAGTGTATACTGCAGGGCGCTGGTGCAGTTGAGACCTAGAAGACAAGGAGAAGCCAGCTGAGGGAAGGGCACTCCGCACACGGAGAGCCAAAGGGAAATACATGCGCTTGGTGTGTTTAAAGAACAAAAGGATCTGGGAGGGGGGAGCACAGGAGTGGAAGGGGGTCGGAGAGGCAGGCAGGGGCCAGTCCCAGAGAGCCCACAGGAGGGTAAGCAAAGGAGTGGCCTACTGCCTTCCTGCAGGAAACTGCTCTGCCTGCTCTGTGAGGCTGGACTGTGCAGTGACAGCCCATAGAGGGGGACGTCATCACTGCCTGTTGGATCGATGGCTGAGTGTTCCTGCATCTCTAGTTGTGTGGAGTGGCCCATCAGCTTGTCCCAAGACTCTCAACATGCCTGTGGAATCCCATCTCTTCTCATCCACACTCCGCTTCTATGTCCTTGCCCTCCAGACACCCCCTTCACAGTGCCAAGGAGCGCAGCTGATGGCAACGATGAAACAAACCTGACTGCTATCCACCCACCCACCTGTTCTCAGCCCTCGGCACTTATTCAGCAAACATTTTCCATGCCCCGGCCTTGTGTTGGGTGCTGAGGGTGTGACAGTGAGCAACACACAAGCCCTGCCCTTAAAAGCTCCCGCAGGCAAAGCCTGCGGCAGGCTCACCAGGAGCTGCCCAGCGCCCACCGCTCCATGAAGGACTGCCCGCTTAAGTCTTCTCTCCCTGGTAAGACCTGCTGTGAGCTTCTGAGATGGTTCTGATCAGCGGATCAATTCACTCCAAGGAGCTCAACAGAGAGACAAGCTCAGTGCCTCGCCTGCTTCCCCTGCCCCCCTCCCTCCACCAACCCGGGAGAAACTATGCCCAGTCTCAACCAGAGGGGTGGGAGGCGCTATTTATTCAAAGACTGAGGAGGACTTTGGCGTTGGTCTGAAGGGTGGGAGGGTAAGGGGCCCACAGGGACTGGTCTGGGGCAGGTGTGGGTAAGGAGGGCAAGAGGTCTGCGTGCAGGCCTCAAACCTCAACCAGCACCCACAGAAATGCCCCGCCGCGTCAGAGGAACCACCCAACATGTCGCTTTCAGAATCTCCTCCTGCATAACAATCATTGTCATTATTCAGAACAGCTGATGAGCCCCTCTTAAGTTCTGCTCTGTGAGATTTCTGGGGTGTCCCTCGCTATGTGCAAACGGGGGGGGCGGTGCCTGAGAAGAGTGCACACACTAGCTCTAGAAAATCCTCGAATCCTGAGTTCACCAGAGCAGCGGAAGTTCCAGGAGCCCTGCAGGACCCTCCACACCTGTCACCCCAATACCCTCCATGCACTTTGATGACAGATTTTTCCCAGTGGGGCACAGCATCCTGGGGAGAAGTCAGCACCAAGGATGGTCCCAGACCCTTGAGTCTCTTCTTCCTGGGAGGGGAGGAGGAGTTATAAATAGCCTGGACTCCTTCAGCCCTACACAGGCACGGATCCCACACCCCCGCCCCAGCCTCAGCCAGCTGGTCCCTCCTCGCTCAAGTTCCCACAGCCTGCAGTGCGAGGGAGGAGAACTGCTCACCCACAGCAGGGGCGGGGAGAGGAAGAAAGTTCTTCAGGCCCCGGTTGGAGTGACTGGCCTCCCATGCAGTGTAACTGCAAGCCCGCCACACCTCTACACCCCCTTGTTGTTGCAGTGCTGAAAGGGGCAATGTTTTCAGGAGCCCTTTTACTCCCTGGTCAACCTGGACACCCCAAGCTGCACTGAACTGAATGACATTATAGAAATAATACATTCTCCCTCTCTCTGCCTCAGTTTTCCCATCTGTAAGATGGACAAATAGCTGAACTGTGAAGCACGGAGGAGACTGGCATGCACTGAAAGTGAAAGGCACTGTCACAATGTCACATGGTGGATCTTTATGGCACCAGGACTTGGTTTCTTTTATGGAAGCCCCAAGCACAGGTACAAGGACACTGATTCTTATCTGTTCATGAAAGCAGAATTATGCTCATTGACACTGCATCAGCCTTGGATTCTTGATACTGCATGTCCTTGCAAGCAGTAAAACTTATCAAATATCCTCTCTCACAAGTCATTTCTGACTAATACAGACTGACACACATCGCACCCCAACTTGTTTTAATTGAATATGATTCCGCTGGGCTGTACATGACATTATAGATTGAAGAATAAGCATTGCCCTAGAATCAACAATCACTCTGTTTATTATTCAAATCTTTCCCACCTATACACACTAGTAAGAAACATATGGTTAAAAATGTAAGTGGCCAACTCCCAGGTCTTTTTCATTAAGATACTTTGTTTGCTCAATAAAATGCAGCATAGAAAACATTTGCTGAAAACCCACTCGTTGATGTCTTAATAGCTGTGTCAAATACTCATAACAACATTCATTCCAGAAACTCTCACATAATTGCTCATCTTTCTCATGTGGTATCCACAACAGCACAGCATTTGTGTCCAAGTGCAATTGATCCTGAATTTGGGCTCTCTTTCAAAAAATATCTGTAAAACCTAATTACCAGGAAAACAGAGTTCTGGCATCCTAGGGAAAGTGGGTGCTTCAGAATGAGATGAGCTGCAAACGCATCTTGGCTAATCAAGCCGCATTATGTTACAAAAGGGGTGTGAGGACTTTGGGGTGAGGAGGGAGCAGGAAAAGCTGGGATAGTGTCCGCCTGGAATCTGCAGTGACCGTCAGTCCTGTTGTTTTTTTTTAAGTCAAGGGCAGAAGACTGGAAATACACCACATGTGCTGGCACCCATGGTCATAGAAAGTACTAGATAAGGAGCCCTTGATGAGCCTGGGGGTGGGCGGGGGGGTGGCATTGCTGACCTCAGGCCCTTGGGCCTTGGTGAGGGAGCTCTCCCCACCCTGACTGGGGGGCTTGTGTCAATTCTAGTCTCCTTGGGCCTCTAACACTGTGACCCGTTGCTTTCCTTCCTTGGGCCTGGAGTTCGCTCATCTGTAAAATGAGCACTCCTAATGCCTAGCAGTGGTCGGCAAACTGCTGCTCGCGAGCCACATGTGGCTCTTTGGCCCCTTGGGTGTGGCTCTTCCACAAAATACCACGTGCAGGCACCCACCTACAGTGCCATTGAAACTTCGTGGCCCATGCGCAGAAGTCGGTATTTTGTGGAAGAGCCACACTCAAGAGGCCAAAGAGCCTCATGTGGCTCGCGAGCCGCAGTTTGCCGACCACTGGATCTCTTTCAGCTTCAGAACTCTGTGGCCTTCTTTAAAGAAAGGACACACTTCTGCTCAGGTACTTGTTGGGCTGGGGGAACAGGGAGTGGGAGCAGGACCAGCCAGAATGAAGGGCTGTTTCCAGCTCTCGGGAGCTCTGTGCCAACTTGCAACAACTGGGTATCAGACCCACTTCGGAGAAAATGATTTCTTTCAGCCCAGGGCGGACCTACCGGCCTGGCTCTAACCTCCCTACCCCGGATTCGTCAAAGCGGGCAAAGAGGAACGGGGCCAAACCACAGGACTTCTCTGAACCTCTCTCTCGGAGCTGACCACAGCATATCTTCCTCTTCTGGGGGTCTTCCCTTCCCGCCCTCCTCCCTCTTCTTCCCGTCCCGGCGCCCCAGAAAACCCAGCCATGGCCTTGTGAATAGTCTGGCGAAGCTCCGCGGGCGGGAAGCACACACCCCCAACTACGGGCTCCCCTTGGCCCTGGCCCCTCGCCGCCCAGGCTCGGGTACCATCCTACGCGGCTGTGCGAGACGCCGCCGCCCTGCTCTCCGTGGGCTCCTCCTGGCCCCCTTCCTAATGAAATCAGACAACCGGCCGGAAAACAAAGCGGCACAGCGGCCGGAGGCCATGCGCTTTCAAAGGAGCCGGAGATGCGCACACCCTGAGCGGAGACGTTCGCGCGGTTCCTAGGAAGAGACCCGTGCTGTCCTGCGCGGAGGGCAGCTTGGCCTGGACTCCGCTTTCCCGAGGCTGCAGGAACCATGTGCGTGCGCCCATTTCCCGCAACTTCCCAGCTGGACAGCGGCGCGGGTCTCAGGGTCCCGCTAGGGCGCCACCTCTGGGACGGACCACCACGAAGCCCTTGAGCCACATCCTGGGATGCGGGATCCCAGACTTCCTGCTGCTTCTCGGATCGTGAAGATAAGACAATATGAGGAGCGGGTGCCAGAGTCTCGGGAAATCGTCCCTCTCCAACATGCTCCCGCGCCTTCCGGACAGAGGTGTGGTAAAACTTTCGGCAGAAACCACCTGTGGCTGCCGACGGCCCGGGCCAGGAGGCGCCGCCCAGCCGGGGCCGCACGCGCCCGCAGAAGTTCCCTTCCAGCCCCGCGCGCCACTTCGCTCCGGGCCGCGGTGCCAGCCAGGAGGCGCGGCGCCCGCGCTCTGGCTCGCTCTCCGCTGGCTCTCCCCTCCTCCTCGCTCCTTCCTCCCGCCTCCTCCCGTGGCATGGCTGCCACACGGAGCCCCTGAATAGCCACCACAGCCCCCCGCCTCCTGCCCGGCGCGCTGGGGCGCCCCGGCCCCCGCGGGTGCCCGGGGCGCGCGAGCGGCCGGCCTCCTAGCAACAGCCCCCGACATCGCTTTCCGGCGCTGGTGACGCACGGCTACCTTTCCGGAGCCCTGCGACCCCCCGACCCGCCTCGGCAGCTCAGGTGCGAGGGAGACCGCAGCCCTCACAGCCGGTGCCCGAGCCCTGCGCGCGAAGCCAACTCACCTCTGCGCGCCGCCACAGCCACCGCGCGCCTCCCGCACTTGGCGCCGGGCCGCGGTCCTCGCGTCCTCCTCCGCCGCCGCCGCGGCCGGTCCGTCCCGGTGCGCCGGGGAGCAGCGCGGGCCCGCGGCTGTCAGAGTCTCGTGGCGGGGCTGCGCCGGCGGGTGTGGAACCGAGCGGCTCCCCGGCGGCTCCTCCTCCCCGCGCCGGGCCCCCGCCCTCCTGGGGCCCCGCCTCCGCCGCTGCTGTCAGCCCCGCGCCCCGCGCCGGGCGTCCCCGCTGCCCGCGCCACCCGCTCGGGGGGCGCACTGGGCTTAAGGGCCCGGATGTCTGTGGTCGCCTCTCCCTCGCGCCCGCCCCCTCCCCTGCACTCCCTCCCCGCCTGCCACACATGCACTTGCTGCGGCTCCACCTCCCGGGCTCCGCTGAATGTCTGTATTGACAGTAACTGTGGCGGTGGGCGGCGCTGCGGGGGGCTCCCCAGACCCGCGGAGGCGGCGGGCTGCCGGCTGGACGCGGCGCGGGGGCGGAGTGGGGGGCCGGGCAGAGCCACCAGTCGCTCAGGGCTCCGCGTCTTTTTTCTTTCTTTCCTTTTTTCTCTTTGCCTCCTCCAGGATTTAAAGGGACAGCCTGGCCCAGGCGAGGGGCCAGGCGGCCTCCGTTTCTCTGGTCTCCAGACGCCCTCTGCGGCCCGGCCGGACCCGCCGGCACCCGGAGCACAGGCTCCAAACCGCCGGGTATTTTTAGGTTCACACCCGGCCCGGGGCAGCCGGAAGGCCGAGGGCGCACGGCTATTTTTACAGAGTCCGATCGGGAGAGGAACTAAAACAACCCAGCAACTGCTTTTCCACGCGAAAGTAGGGAGCAAGGAGGAGGGGGGAGAAGTTTCCCAAACGCTCTCGGAATTCCAGCGAGCTCAGAAAGATCCCTCTCCGCCACGAGAAACCACAAGCTTGCGGCGCTCTAGGGCGCCCCAATTCCTGCGGGCAACCCCGCCTTAGAGGTCACTCGGGCGCAGGGTCCCCCCAACTTCCCCGGCGGGAGTCCCCCGCACCCCGCACCTGCGCCCCTACCACCGGTCCAGCCCGGGACAGCCCTGAAGGCGGCCTTCCGAAGCATCCAATCCCCCAGCCACGCAGCCCAGGGGCGGGCCCTGGGAGGGGTTGGCTCCGCCCCTTATCGCCAAGCCTGGTCCCCGCGGACGCTTTAGGCTGGTAAGTCCGGGTGGGACGCGCGGCGCCGAGTCAGACAGCGTAAAGGACCCTTCCGAGGGAAGAGGAGGGTTTTCTCGGCCTTGGCGGGGGGATGAATTATCGTGGGCGAGACGCCGCTGGGGCAGACGTTCTGGCCACCAGCGGGCGAGGGCACTCAGGAGCTGGTTTATCCTTCTCCCAGACACACAGAGGAACTTTTGCCCTTTTTAGCATGGCATATGCGACTGTACCCTGGCTGTCAGCGAGTCTCTCCGGCCCCCTCCCTCAGACACAGGAAATTTGCAGTCCTCCAACTCCTACAGGGCCTGCCCTAACCTGAGCAGACAGGCAAGAAAGCGAATCCCTCCCTCCTGGCCCCATTCTGGCTACAGGCTAATAAAAGTGCTGTGGGGCTGCTGATGTCCGAGGCGTGCCTTTTAATTTGAGATAGTCGATGGCCTCCTTTACAAAATTCATTAAAAGAAATCTGTAGATCTTTTGCACTTCTTCCCACGGTTGCTCATAGGGATGTGTGTGTGTGCACGCGTGTGTGTGTGTGTGTGTGTGTGTGTTAATCATTTCATTCATTCGTGTAATAATTGCACCATTACAAGGCACCACCCACTGGGAGTGGTGAAGACAAGGAAAATCGCTCGGAATAGGACATGCAACACAAAGCCAGACACACGTGAAAAGGGCATCTGGAACCAAGGGCTGTGTGAGTCATGTTTCATCTGCCAGAGAGTCCTGGCTTTTCCTAGTAAATAAGTGTCAGTCCTTCAACTGAACACCTACCTATCCAACCCATACAAAAGAACATGTAAGTCTAGAGAAGTCTGTGCTGGAAACTAAGAGGTCTTCAGATTCAGGATGTCAAGTCTTTCCAAGTTGTTAGAGCTTCCAGTGGCAAAAGAATATCCTTGCTCTTAGCAGCCCTGGAAGCCATTGCCCCCCAAATTAAGTTGTCTGTCTCCCTGTTAAATAAGGTTGTCTGTCTCCTTTCTTTTCACTCAAGGGTCTTCCGTCATTTGGAGCACAGTTGACCCTGTCCACATGGTCAAGCTTCTAAGCCAGAGCAGGGGTGCATTTAAGAGTTCTTGGAGGATCCCGGCCCTGGGATAGCAAGACACTGTAGACACGAGGAATGCAGCTCTGGGGGTGAGAAAAGAGGGATATGGGTTCTAAATTAGAAATGCCTTTGGGGCAGAAAGGTTGCCCTTCCTTCTCTAGGTACCGTTGGCTCAGAGCAGATGTTCCGCAGCTGTATGTCACTGAGCGCCTTTCCATGCTGTGAGCTATAAGGGGGATGGACCATGTTCCAGACAGTGAGCTTCAGGGCCACAGAACCTAATCGCCACAGGCAAAACTTTTAGACATTTAAGGCCAATTAGAAGGAGAACAGTCTGCATTGTGAATATTTTAATGATAGCAGCTATTATACTGCATTTGTAATTTTTGCTCAATTCCTCCGCCCCCCTCCCCCAGGACTTCAAACTTCTTACCCATCCTTTAGTCTCCTAAGTGCCTGACATAAGCTCAGCACCTAATAGGTGCTCATTAAAAAAAATTAATAAATGGATGAACAAAACGTCACTTTAGGATGGAAGAGTAAGTGGTGACACATGAGGACAGAGACCTCGTGAATTTTGTTAAGACGCGTTTGCAATTTGCTTGTTTGTATGGTGGTGCCACTGCACGGAACCCGACTTACAATGGTTCAACTTCATTTTTATTTTTAGTTTATAATCGTGCGAAAGTGATAAGCACTCAATAGAAATCTTACTTTGAATTTTGATCTTTTCCTAGACTAGTAATATGTGATACTATACTTCCTTATGATGCTGAACAGAAGCAGGGAGATTATTTTGTCCAACTGTAGCCTAATGTGAGTATTCCTGAGCATGTTCTAGGTAGGCTAGGCTAAGCTATGATGTTAGTAGGTGTATTAAATGCATTTTCAGAAGATAACCCCATTGTACGTCAAGGAGCATCTATAAAAAAAATTTTGCCACAAATAATGAGATTTTTCTGGCTCCTGCCAGAGTCTACTCCTTATAAGCCATATAAATTAGAAAAGTATGTTATTCATCTCCTCAGTGCCTCTGTTTCCAAGTATATATAAAAGAGACAATAATGGGACCTTCTCTACTCCATAGGCTTCTGGGATAACCAGATAAGAAAAGGTGTGGGCAAGTGTTGCATTCATTAAGGGGTTAATGTGTAAAATTGTAAATTGCTAATATCAGTTGTTGAAATAAATTTTACAGAAATTATCACAGAATTGGATTCAAATATTTACCTATAACCCAAGGGTGGTGAGAGGCTGACTCAAGAAAAGGGAACAGGAAGGAATGAACATTTCCAGAGCTCCTTCTGGAGTCAGAACTCATGGCATGCATTGTTCTGTGTTCCTCGTGACAACTGTATTTTGTGGATGTGACATCCGATACCAATAGCGGTGGCAACGACCAAGGTCCCACAGCTGGGAAGCCTCCCATAGAGGCTGCCTGGGCCCCATCCTGTGGTGCTGCCTCTGGAGGAGAAAGAAAGAAGAGGCTCTGAGGAAATCCAGGCTGAAGAGAATGTCAAGACTATGGTCCATGTTACCACAAGGCAGGCTGGGTGAGGTGCCGTCTCGGCTGAAAGGAACTTACTGGGGAAGGTGGCATTTGACTCGGTCCTTTAAGCTTAGATAAGGTTTTCTCTCTTTTTTAAAAAAACTTTTTTCTTTTGAAATAATTTCATATTTTCAGAAAAGTTACACAGATGATAGTATAAAAAATTCCCATAGACCTTCCCTCAGTTTCCCCAAATGCAAACAGCTCCCTTGGGTGCTTTATCCTGCTGCCTGTCTTTATGGACATTATTTTCCCCTAAACCTTTGAGAGTAAACTGAAGATGTGGTGTTCCTTTGCTGAAAAATTATTCAATGTTTTTTAACAAGGACATTCTCTTACATAGTAATCAAAATCGGGAAATTGCCACCAATGCTATTATTGAATCTAAACCATATTTAGATTTTTCCAATTGCCTCACTAATGGCAAAAATGAAAAATAAATTCTGCTCGAGATCCAATCCAAGATCGCACATTGCGTTTATTTGCCATATCTCTTGGGAAGATATTTTTATTATTAAAAAGAAATTTTTATCAATTTCCATTTCTTATTTTAAATGGCTATCCCGTTATGGTCCTTATGGGATAACAAAGATTCTCTTCTTGACCAAACTTCAGACCGGCTCCTCGGAGCCCTCTTTTTTGGCTTAGCCTGGCCTTTGGCCCCTGCCTGTTTCTGACTGGTCCAGTTGTAGCAAGAATCCTGCTATGTCCATTTATTGAGAAACTCCCCCCTCCCTGACATCTGATCAAATTCCTCATCCCCCACCCTTGATATCTGACCACGGCCTGTCTTTAGCAAGAATCCTATTAGGTCAATTTAGCAAGAATCCACCTACCCCTGATGTCTCCTCTTAGTAATTTCCATCCACAGACCCCCATACTTCCGGGGCTATAAATCCTCACTTCTCCTTGTTGATCTCTCTCCTCCATTGCAATCCCCCTTTTGCAATAGACTTAAACAAAGTCTTCCTTGCCATTTTCAAAAATGTCACAATAGCCCTAGCTGGTTTGGCTCAGTGGATAGAGTGCCGGCCTGCAGGCTGAAGGGTCCCAGGTTTGATTCCAGGCAAGAGCACATGCCCAGGCTGTGGGCTCGATCCCCAGCAGGGGGCATGCAGGAGGCAGCCAATCAATGATTCTCTCTCATCATTGATGTTTCTATCTCTCTCTCCCTCTCCCTTCCTCTCTGAAATCAATAAAAATATATATTTTTAAATGTCACAATAATTTTTTTCGCTAACAGAACCAAAGGAAACAGAAAAAAAAATTTTAATTATCTATAATAACCCACCAAAGATAACCAGTGTTAATTCTTGATTTTTAAATGTACATGTGTAATCCAAGTACACAACCACCACGCCTTCCAGGGGCCAGCTTCCCCTAGAAAATATTGAGGCTACGGAAGTTCTACTTTTAGTTCCTCCGGAAGTTCTTCCTCAGTGTCCAGTGTGCCTCCCGCTGCTCCCCACTGGGCCGCAGTCAGCCTTGTCCTTCAGGTCCTGACCCCAAACTCCAGTTACCATCTCCCTTGAGAGGATGCTGCATCCCCCCAACAGCCCCAGGGAAAAGCTGTTGGGGGCAGGCCAGGCCCCTCAGACCTACTTGTTGTTCTATTCACCACACAAGGGCCTGCAAAGGCTCTCCTGGGTAATAAAGGGTGGTAGTCACTCAAGGGAATTGAAAAGTGAGTCTGGACAACTTGAAGCTGTGCACAAGATAGGACTTCCCCATATTCCAGCAGAGAGCAACCGGGGGTCAACCCTACACAGTGGGTCCCTTGAGGGTGCATCCCATTTCTAACCTGGTCCCCCTTCAGGAGTCCTTGCCCCACACTTAGTCCATCTACCCTTTGATGTGATTCTCCACAGGAGAACCAACCCCTAACCCCTTTCTGCCTCGAAGCATACATCTCCCAAGCCTCTGTCAGTGAAGCCATATAAAGTAATATTCTGGATTAATCGAGTGGTCTCCAACAGGGCTGTTCAGTGATGGCCATGGGCGCCCCAAGCATGGCTGAACAGCTGAGCAAGCCAGGGCAGGCGAGGTCCCCAGATAAGCCCAGCCTCCTTCAAGATCTCCAGCAGCCTGTGCTGCTGCAGTTCTTATGTATTCTTCCTACTGCTCAGAGAGTAATTGTTAAATTAAGTGTGCACACATGCACACTTCTCGCACACAACTTCCAGGGATAATTCTCGATGATTCAGTCTCCCTCTATGAGGAGCAAAACACCAGCTTGCTAGTTACCTCAAAATTTGCAAAATGCTATAGTACTACTTCCTTTCCTTCATTCCCCTTTTCCCTGAGTTTATATTATCTCTTTGCCCCCCAACCCCCCACCCCACAAACACATACATACTGCACTGCCACTATGCCCTTAGTTAGCCAAGCACCAGGTCAAAGCAGTGCATTTACCCTAGGATGTAATTAAATCGAGAGCCTTTCCCTCCTTGGAGTCTGTGTGGAAGGAGAGGACGGCTTTTATTCAGAATGTGCAGGGCACATTCAGAGTGCCTGTCTACATAAACCATTTAATTTTAAATGCATTACAAAATCCTGGCCATGTGAAGTATAGTGACTTAAAGGTGAAGATATAGAATAGTGGGTAGAGAAGAGGTATTTACACATTTATTTATT